CCATCTAAATATAATGTGTTTTATCAGATAGTCTATACCCTCCAAGACACTGCGTATTTATTCTTTACAACTGCAGATGTTGAAAAGATGTAAGTACTTCTCTTTACCAGACTAGCTATAAGGGTAATGATAGGTTCATGACGATAATAAAACATTAATACCAGTTTTTCGTTTAAGGTTCGTTGATCTCAATATTGATCAGAATAGTAACGGTGAGTACATCAGTAAGATTAATAGGAGTGGGTTGAAAAAGTTTTCTTTTTTCATATCTATGTCTGTATTACAGGTGCTATGGATTTAGATGAATATCTCCGTGTGACAAAAAGTCGAATAGTGCGTTACCTTAAAGAATTATCAGAAACGCTTCCCAGGACAAGGCACAGGAATAGTAGACAGACGTGGTTACATTATAACGATGTTGATGGACTGAATGAAAGGTCAGTGTCATGGCGTTACTTAAAAAGCACAAGTTGTGTGACATTTGATAGCGTGACTGAGCAACTGGTTATTACTAATTGGCGGTAATATATTTCAAGGGTTTCTGCGCTTACTAAACTCCCTGTTGAAGTGGTTGAAAGAAGCGAGAAGCTTCAGGTAAGTGTTGCATTCTGATTGGCTAATCATCAGGATCGTGATGTTTGATTGGTTGACAGACTATTGTTTACTGTGTTGTCAGGTGGTCAATTATGGACCAGAAGGACATTACTATTGTCATACTGATTCACAAGATATCGAGGATGGGGTTCCTTGTTGCCTTTTCAACAGTCGTCGAAAATGCCGATTGTGCAGGTAAACAAATTGATCCTATTGGTCGAGGTGAATATAGTGACCACGTAGCGCCCCCACGGGGTCCCCCCTTCCCCCCACAATGCAAAAGGTTTGTAGCACCGGTGACGTGCGCTGCTATATTGCGCCGCCTCTCATCAATGCGGCCCGAGTTCGAGTCCTGCCGATCTCGATGTGAGTAGAGTTGTTTGTTGGTTCTCTCCTGTGCTTTGAGGTTTTTTCTCCGGGTTCTCCGGTTTTCTTCCCTCCTCAAAAATCAACTTCTAAATTCTAATTCGATCTCTGGGCTTTCACCTAGTTGGAAGCCTAGCTCTGTTGTGATTGTCCTACACTGTGATACAACAGCTAAAGCTAGTAGATGTAGACTTCAGATTATGATAGAAAGATGTCATTTCCTTAGAATGTCACTAACCCTGTCGTATTAATCAATTGTAGTGTCGAAGAGTGCTATGCCACGATTTAGGGGTAATGGGGGAGGTAATTTGAATTTACTCTATATATACATATACCATATAACATAATGAAACTTTACCATTTCATCTTGTGTTTAGATACATCACAGTGCTTTACTATTTGAACAATGTGGAAGAAGGCGGAGAAACGGCTTTTCCTCTAGCAGACAATGTAACCTTCAGCCATGAGGTATGAACCATAGATGACTATGTTTGTTGCAAGCAACGTAATAATACCTAGTCTTACTGTATTTACTAACAGGAGTGGGTCATGAACATAAAGCATCATTGTGATCTCAGTAAACACTGTCATCAAGCAAACGTCTACGTTAAACCAAGACAAGGTACAGCCATCATGTGGTATAACCATCTAAGGGATGAACAAACAGGATGGCTGGGAAGAATCGACCCAAGGTCATACCATGGCGGATGTGACGTCATTAAAGGACACAAATGGATCGCTAATAGTTGGATAAATATTGTAGGTGAACCAGGTGATAAACTAGTGGCATATCATCCCACATCAGACCCTATACCATAGGATACTTCCAAGTACCTTTACTTTATTCTGAGAAACATGTTATAACGTAGGCTCATTATAAGATAATTCACCTTTTCGGCGCTAGCTTGGATTGTGTTACGGTCACCAAAAAGTTCTGACATCATTCTCTGATTTCCATRCAAATTCACTGACTTTAAAGGGAAAATTTAGGTAGATTTCTTTAGTTAGCTATCTTAACAGCAGTAGGAAAAGCTTCAATCAAGCTAGAAAAATGAAGTTTTACTTGTATTTAGAGAACTAACTAAACAAACCAAGTAAATAGTTCATTTAAAGTCAGTATATTTGTACGGAAATCCAAGAACCATGTACGAACGTTTTGGTGACCGCAACACAATTCAGAACAATTTATACCACGTGACGGTTTGCTCCGAAAATGTGAATTACGAGATCTAGACATTAGGCTAAGCATTGCTAATAACTGATATACCAAGTACGACATAAATAGTATTCACGTTAGGTAGCCTGAGCACATGAAGGTGGTATGCAATAAACATCACCAGATGCAACATGCGACTTACTCATCGTTCGACATCGGATATTCT